TTTAGACTTTAGTAGTTTTAAAACTTTTTCTTCACTCACTCACTCAGTTATTCACTACAATTCAAAGACTCAAACGAACAAAAAAAAATTTAATTTTGTGGGGATCCTTTCTTCCACCCAACCCGAAAATAATAATAATAATAATAATTTTAAAAAAACTAAATTCGTATGAAATAAATGAAATTTTATTTTTATAAAAAAAAATTTTTCGTAGTACCAGGATCGAATATTCAGGTTTAAATAATAATTTGAATAAATGTGAAAGGGGGGATGGGGGAGGGAGGGGGGAGGTTTAGAAAATTGAGAGAGAAACGAATAATAATAATATAATAATTCATGTCTCGATTTTACTAGTTTCTTCGTTTTTTTTTTTTTTTTTTTTTTTTTATTTTAGTCAATTCAGCAGGTGTTAGTTGCGTGATTGCAAGATTTTTTTCCTTTTCTTTCCCACGTTACTTTTTCCTTTTCCTTATCTTATACCCACCCACCCCCCTCACCCGTCGTTTTCTTATTCTTTTACCCAAATTCAAATATAAGTAAAAAAAAAAAATAAGAAGAAGAAAAAAATAAAATAGCAAAAACAGCAAATTTTCATTTTTTTTTTTTTTTGTATTTTTATAGACAAATCATGAAAATAAAAAATACGTGAAACCTTTTTTTAAAAACCTTTTCACTTACAATTTATAAGAATTTTATTTTAAAAAAAAAATCTTCGGAAACATGGTTCCAGAGAGCAGAAAAAAAAAAAATGGGGAGAGAAAGAGAGAAAAAGAAACGAAATTATCAAATTTTTATATTATAAAAAATGTCGTAAATCATACACTTTTTTAAACCTTTTCGTCTTTCGTTTCCTTTTTTTTTCTTATTGTGAATTTAAACAACTATTTCCGGTTGAGAATATCACGCACTTATATGAGCCTGATAACAAAACAAAAATGTTTGTTATAATGACTAATTTAAATCGTTTGGAGAGAAATAAGTAAAAAAATTAAAATTGTGAAAAAAATTTTTTTTTAAATGATTACGATGGTGATGATGATGATGATGACAATGATGATGACAATGATGATGATGATGATGATGATGATGATGCGTATGGGTGTGCGAGTGCATGGGTTTTTTTTTTTTTTTTTACTGCGAACGTTAACGAAAATTTTTATGACAAGTTTTTTTTTTTTTTTTTTTTTTAGTAAAATTTGATCGAATTAGATTCAGGCCTGTTTTTAAATAAAATGGCCACTCGAAATCTAATCAATGTTAATAAAATGCAGAACAAAATAAAGTGGCAGTTTCTGGTTGTATCAAATTATCTGGGGGGGCGTGAAGTGGGGCGTGAAGTGAGACACGATATTTTTTATTTTTTTATTTTTATTTTGAGATCCTTAAATTTATGCAAAACGATCCAGGAAAAGGAAAAAAAATTTTTTTTTTTTTTCATTGTCATGTGTCTTTCATTTCACGTGTAAATAAAACGTAATTTTTATTTAAAACCACGACATT